ATTGTAACTTAATCTTTCGACCAATATTCACATGTTGATCACATGACATGAAAAGGTCAGTTTTACACTTTCAATTCACGTGAAAGTCTCTCATTTATCCTATCCTAAAAACTAAAAAGAATCCATAATTAATCCAGAACTTGCAATAATATTGCCCTGTTAGTTAAGACTACGTCAGAATGTTTAGGTGCCATATCAACCGCCATAGAAATATAGTGTCCAATATGTCAAAGCTACCTCACCAGATCAAAAAAATTAAAACTAGCAAGAAACTTACAGAAACAGTTCAATTCCGCCCACCAAATCAAGCAAATTAAGAAGTATAAGTAACTAAATATAATATTATACATATATATATATATAACTAGAGCTATATATTAATGGATCGTAACCACGGTGACCTGAGATTGCATTATATATGTGTGTGTATATATATATATATATATATATATATTAATATGCTGTATCTGCGACAGTGCTATTTATATATGGTGTAATTTATTAGAGATCGAAACAAAGTATACCAAGTCAATGTATTTTTTTTTTTTAGATAATAGTTAATGTATTATTCAGAACATATATAAATTTCAGGGTTATTTACAAAAATACACCGATTATCTTATTACTAGCACCATTTTTTTATACTTTTCATTTTAACACTGCTACATCAATAATTGAGAGACTCATGAAGTTAAATTGTCAAAACTACCATTGGCAAAATTCAATGTCAGATTCCTGCTTCCCTCTTCAATTTCTCTCTCTTCATTCGAACTCCCTCATTTTTCTCTTCCTCTCTTCCTCTCGCTTCATTTGAACTCTCATATTTTCTTTCTTTCTCCTCTCTCGCCTCACTTGAACAAGTTGCATATATCTCCTCAATTTTCTCTTCATTTGAACTCATAGCTTATTCTCTCCTTCTCCTCTCTCTTCATTTGAGATCCCACATTTTTTTTCTTTCCCTCTCTTTCTCCGCTCTCTCTCTCCCACTCTCCTCATATGAAAAAGTTGCAGATATTTCATAAGGCGTTTAATTAATCCCAATTTGCATCTAATATGCAACACAACCTCGTTTAGAAGTGTTAATAAAAAGCACTTTGACTTCTTTTCCACATATATGGTAAGAAATCTTTAAAAAAAATTGGGTTATGATTTTGAGGGAACCAATTGGTCAAATTTGTTTCTAATTTGAATAATAAGTGGAATATCAGTTTGATTTACTCTGTGAGCCTCATTATGTTTGTAAAACAATAATTTTCGTTTACTAGGTAGTCATACGATAATGACCAATGGTAATTATCGTTGTGACTCATATAGTAATTATCATATTTATTAGTGGTCATAATGGTGATTACCAGTATCATATGTTAAACTTCTTTTTTCATGAATGGGATTTTAATACTAAATTTACTTTTAAAGTTCTCCTTAGATACACAATTCAAACGTTCTTTTTTCAAGGTTTCTTATTTTAGATTTGTTAGTTATGTATATTTTGTAGGATGACGAAAGCCCAAGAAAATACCTATTGGATTCTTAATAGAATTTGATATCTTAATGCAGAAGTGGCACGTAGAGAGGTAAGGGGTGGCTCTTGACTTATTAATTAGAAATTCTGATTATCAAAATTAAGAAATTTTGGAGAAAGTCTTCAGTGTTTTCTTTTTAGGGTGTAATTCCCGTAACTGTATATATATATACATATATTATATATATAATAAACATAGGTTGTTTTTGTGCACGTCTATTTTCCATTTTCTTTACTTTTCTAATTGTGTAGTTTTTTCAGCCTATTGTCTCAAGTATTTGTTCAATTTGTTTACATTTTTGAAGTTGCTTTAGTTTACGTATCATGTACAGAAGAGTAACGGCATGTATTGTATACTGTGGTGCAGTCGTATGAGGTGAACTCTAGGGAACTAGAGATTTTCTCTAAGAATTGGCTTCCGGAGACGTTATAGTGTGTTTTTATCATGGTTATGGTGACACGTGTACGTGTTTTATATGTCAAATAAATTGAAAGTTGACCGTGAATTCAAATGTATAAACACAATGATCATTCTTGTAACATTGTGTCATACAACATTCTTGTACAATTTTTTTCGAGAAAAGGTCGAAGTGCACTTTATTAACTAGAAAAGTTTGTAAATGCAGGATAAAGTAATTGAATTGGTACACTACAGTAATTTTTGAAATGACTACTCGGTAAATTTTGTAATTATTATAATCAATTTTTAAATAAAAACTACCTAAGTTATTCACTAAGCAGCTTTTTTTTTAGATTATATTGGTGGTTTTTTCATTTGATGTATAAATGGTAAAGAAATCATACTACTAGCAAGACAAAGTAATTGGATTGGTACACGACGGTAATTTTAAAAATGACCACTTAGTGATTTCTGTAATGACCATAATCAATTTTTCAAATAAAAATGCCTAAGTTATTCACTAACTTTTTAAAATTCTACTGGTGGTTTTTTCATTTGATGTATATATGGTAAAGAAATCCTATTACCAGCAAGACAAAATAGTTAAATTGGTATACTACGGTAATTTTTGAAATAACCACTTGGTAATTTCTGTAATGATCATAATCAATTTTCCGAATAAAAACTACCTAAGTTATTCACTACGCATCTTTTTTTTTTTAGATTCTACTGGTGGTTTTTTCATTTGATATATAAACGGTAAAGAAATCCTACTATCAACAAGACAAAGTAGTTGAATTGATACATTATGGTAATTTTTGTAATGACCATAATCAATTTTTTGAATAAAACATGCCTAAGTTATTCACTAAACAACTTTTTTTTAGCCACCATAACAGCATATTGGTGCTTCATAGTTCTTTTAAAACAAAATTCAAAAACAAACAAACAAATAAAACATCAAACACCAAACATACTCCTACCAAAAGTTCAAAATATCAAAGTGCGAAGATAAATGCGTAACCAACATTAAAAGAAATCCTAAAATATATCGACAATTTATGTTTCAGTGAATAAGTTAGTAACGAAGTACTCAAACTAATCCGTCGGCAAAGGCTTAAAAAGTTAAAGGTAAACTAATAAGTCAAGAGCCACATCTCGCCTCTCTACGTGCCACCTCTGCATTACGGATCTCAAATTCCATCAAGAATCCAACAGGCATTCTCCTGGCCTTCTGACATCCTACAAAACATACATAACTCGTAAATCTAAAATAAGATACCTTGAAAAAAAAACATTTGAATTGTGTATCTAAGAAAACTAATTTGAAAGTAAATTTAGCATTAAAATCTCACTCATGAAAAAAGAAGTTTAGCATATGATGCTAGTAATCACCATTATGACCACTAGTAATATGATAATTACTATATGGGTCACAACGATAATTACCGTTGGTCATTATCGTAATGACTACCTGGTAAATGAAAATTATTATTTTACAAACATAATGATGCTCACCTAGTAAATCTAACTGATATTTCACTTATTATTCCAATTGAAAACAAATTCGACCAATTAGTTCCCTCAAAATCATAACTCAGACGTTTTTTTAAGATTTCTTACCATATATGTGGAAGAAAAGTCAAAGTGCTCTTTATTAACACTTCTAAATGAGGTTGTGTCGTACATTAAATGCAAATCGGGATTAAACGCCTTTAGGAAATATCTGCAACTTGTTCATATGAAGAGAGTGGGAAAGAGAACGGAGAAATTGTGATTTAAAGAGAGGGAGAGAAAAAAAATGTGGGAGCTCAAATGAAAAGAGAGAAGGAGAAGGAGAGAAAAAACTGTGAGTTCAAATGAAGAGAGAGAAATTGAGGAGATATCTGTAACTTGTTCAAGTGAGGAGAAAGAACGAGAAACTATGAGAGTTCAAATGGAGAGAGAGAGAGAGAGAGAGAGAGAGAGAGAGAGAGAAATTGAATAGGGAAGGTGAAATCTGACATTGAATTTTACTAAGGATAATTTTGACAATTTAACTTCATGGTCCCTCAATTGTTAATGAGGTAGTACTAAAAATAAAAGTATGAAAAAGTGGTGCTAGTCATAAGATAATTGTTGTAATCGGTGTTATTTTTATAAGTAACCTTAAATTTTATATGTTTCCAAAATTGGTGGGCTGTTGCGCTGTCGCTTACTAAATGATCAAATGTTTGGCATGTTATCAAGGCACATATATAAGACCCACTTAAATAATTAACATTTCACATATATGGATCACTTATTTTGTTTTCCCTAATTAATATATATATGAGACACTCTACAGGGTGGCGATTAGGCCTCCAATATCCTTCACTTCTCACGCAAATAACGAAAAAATTTCTAAAGATTAGCAAGAGGGGTTAAACTTATTGTATTTGTATCTTTGTTTTGTAAAATTTCACAAATCAAATAAAAAAAGAAATATGTAAATATTATGAAAATATAAATAAATATATATTCCATATGTATTATACATTATAATAATAATTATTAATTATACTTTTTTCCTTTAAAGAAATACAAATCAACATGGAATTCATACTGGTATACATACATGTTCCACTTTTGTCTATATATATGTATATGTATATGTACATATAGCTTTCTTTTAAAATTATTGAGAATCCACAAACACCTATGATCCGATGTCTTCATCTCATTAGCTCTATGGCTTAAAATAATAATTGGTCTAGACTCTAGAGCTTTTATACTGCGAGTGTAATGTGTTCAAGCTTATATATATAAACCAATATATATACGCACTTATTTTGTTGTAAATTCAAAATGTGACAAAATAAAAACATACACCTTCAATCAACAATTCAATACAAAGAGTACTCCAATTCCCAAATTGAAGATAACTAACGTTAACGATAATCAACTTTAGACTTTAGTTATCCATATATCGTACATTTATTTAACACTTCCAGAAATAATAATCGACTCCCAAAAAAAAAAACAAAAAACAAAAAAAAAAAAACAAAAACAAAAACAAAAACCAAAACAAAACAAAAAGAATACAAATCACAACCAATCAATGTACAGAAACAAAAACAAATTAGAAATAATATATAACTAATAGTTAATTACGCCCCAAGCCAACCGACAACAACAAACTATAGCTAGTGAAAGAAGGGCTTAAAGGTGCTGACCACCTTCTTAAAATTATCAATAAACGACGATGTCGTACTCGAAACAGAGCCGTCGTTTCCGGCCAAAACCCTGTACTTGTCCTTCCTGGTGAAGTTGGTGCACTCAAACCCTAGCGTCGCCGCCAATATCCTCTGCACGTAGTTCGCCACGTCATACGGGCTCTTCCCCGACGAACACGTGGCCTCCGCCGGCAACTGGTTAAGGAAAGTAACCTCGTAAACCGGCCGAGGATTCATGAAGAAAAATATCGGGTCGAGACCTTTCCAACCCCTTGCCGTCGTTGCATGGAAGAATCCTACCCTGTAATTCATCGCAACCGGCACAATCCGGTCCGTTAGCTCGGCGAAAAGAGCGCTGAACCTGAGGAGGAAAGGCTCGCGACATGTCGTCCCCTCAGGGCAAACGACGAGGTCTCCCTCGGCTAGCTCGCGCTTGATCTTCTCGGCATCGATGTCGCGGGTTCGGGTAAGCCGGACGGTGGGGATCGGAGAGAGGATCTCGGAGAGGCGGGAGATTGAGTAGGTGACGGCGGGGATCTTGCGGCCGAGGACGGTGCAGAGGACGACTGGGTCCATTAGGGTTCGGTGGGTGCAGACGAAGAGGACGCCGGAGTTGACCGAGGAGGCGGGCGGCGGGGGATTTCCTTTGACGATGACCTTGCCGCCGAAGAGGCGGGACACGTAGGGGATGGTCCACATTGGGAGGATTAGGCCGACGGCGATGCGGGAGATGGCAAGGAGGACACCAAAGGGCATCCAGAGGAGGATAAGGAGTGCGGTGGAGGGCGTCGGCCGCTTGACGAGACGGCCATCGTGGAAGATCACCGGGAGCGGGCGGAGGAGCACAGCGTGGTCGGGTTTTTGGTTGGTGGTGAATGGCGGGTGCAGTTGTTCCTGTGTTGCGAAAACATAATAAGTTAGTTTTATTTCTCCTATTAATTTCTGGTCAAGTAATGTTTGAGGAGCCAAGGAGATCAATAGTTTTGGATTTTAAACTAAGTAAAGTGAAAGGGAACAGAAAAAAAAAATAGAAAGATAATACAAGTACAACCTGAAATCATTATAGAAGAACCAAATAAAGTAAAGAAAAATCTTTTTTTTTTTTTGTTGGGGTGTGTGTGTGGGGTGGGGGGTTGAAAAGTTGGCCGCAAGCATATAGTTTGTACGCTTATAGTATCACTTTCATCCAACTTTAGTACTAACCAATCTCCTTAAAACCCTTAATGTTGAAGTAATCTCATGATTTCTCCAAAAAAGAAAGGAAATAGAACTTAATACTAGAGACCTAACTCTAACCCCTACTTTTGATATAAATTCTTGTGGTAATATGCATTGTCATATTTTTCTAATAGAAGGAAATTTTTGTTATTAATTGAAGTAATAATTTTTAAAACACCTATTAATAAAAGAATGACAACTCACGTTATTTGACTTTAAAAAGTTAAAATTAAAGTTGGTATTCCTAGTATTATTAAAAATAAATAATGTGTACTGACGCTGATTATAAATTGAGCCTATTAATAAAAGAATGACAACTCACGTTATTTGACTTTAAAAAGTTAAAATTAAAGTTGGTATTTCTAGTATTATTAAAAATAAATAATGTGTACTGACGCTGATTATAAATTGATTGTATATCTATTTTCTTGTAAAAATAGGTAAAGTAGTTTGTTTATGTCTTTTTATTCCTTTAAGCATAAATCATATTTTCTCATGTCGTTCTCTTGCAAATACCTCATTAAAAGTGTATGTATAAGTATTTTTACCACTTACTCTTGATTAATAACCTTTTTAGTTAAATAACTATACTAATAAAAGGATATTAATCATGAATGAGGAATAAAAATCCAGACCTATACACTTTTAAGGATAAATTTTACAATTTTCTCTTATGGAATTGGGAGCTAGCTAGTGATTTCTCCATCAAAGAAAATGAAGCTATAGCTTGTCTCTCCATGAAATGACCATATATACATCATGGAAATGCTTTGATATGGTATGAAAATATGACAATTTACATCTATCAACTTACGCTTATAAATTATCATTATTTTTAGTCGGATATAATTTTTTTTAGAAGGAAAATACTAAACAAACAGAACATTCTTCAAATTCCCACCATCTAAAAAATTCATTGGTTATATTCAAAAGACAAAAAAAGAAAAGAAAAAAAAAAAAAAAACTCTACATGTATTATGTTTATTGTTTAGAGTACTCACCTTGCACAAAGATAAAAACGAAGAAGCAGATGAAGCCCTCCCCAACCCAGCCGAGGGTGGTTCATCCACAAACATCTTAGCCACACGTCTTGAAATGCTCGAGCCAACATCACCTTTCACGAGCCCAGTGGCGAACCCAAACCGGTTAACCACCAGCTCACTCCCCACAACCTCGTCAGCCCTAAGATGCTCCTTCACGAACCTCTCCACCATCACCCTCGGCATCTTTGTCACCACAACCCTTTTTTCATAGCAACTGAACTTCTTCCACGCCTCCATCTCCACATCATCCATGAAAAACTTCGGCAGCACCGCCCTCGCCACCGACTCGATCTCCGACTCCGCCACGCCCGCCACCGCGACGAATATCATCACCCTCAGCCCCACATCTCCCATCCCCATCACGTCCATCAGCCGGATCAACGGCCGCAAGAGCAGCAAAAGCGCGAACCGGACCAAACCGGACGCCTCGAACGCCACCAACATGAAGTAGGAGAATGTGTCCGGGTCTTTCAGAAGCGTTCCTTCCAGCTCCGAAACAACTGACGATGAAAATACTGATGATTTCTCCATTAGGGTTTACTTAATTTCCTGTACTAGTTTTCTTTAAGCTCAAGCTGTTTGCTAGGAACAAATTAAGTGGGATTATAACTTATATGGTACGGAGAGTTTCTGGGATGAGTTGGGTCTAAATGTAGGAATTTAATTAGGCAGTTTATCAGTTTACAACTACCTCTCTGATCTTTATAAAAAAAAGTCTTTCAATATTCGTGTGTTCATACTCCGGTGGATATATCTACAAAGGAAATAATATGGATTATACGCCACGTAAATTTGCCAAGATCGATTACTTAACTCCAACAACTTTAGGCTGAAAGTTTTGGACCCTTTTATGGTGTCCACGTGTACACCTAATAACGCATATAACACGACACCTTTAGGTTACTGACCGTATAGATGTATATATGAGAATCAATGTGTATATACATTCATCTATATGTAGATTACGTTACACCGGAATATATAATATAAAACACAATATTTGTAAGAGATAAATTTGTGACTATAGTCACCACCACGTTGTCGTTGTTGGGTTTTTAAATATTTATATATGAAAGTGACCACCACGTACGATGTTGTGAATGTTGTCTATAAAGAGAGGTAGAGGATCAGCATGAGCAAATTTCTGCGCTCTATAATACATGTCTTGATTTTGTCAGCTTTTATCACATTTTAGACCTCATGTATGGCTGCGCTAATTAATAAGTACTGCTTCTTTCTTCAACAGGAGTATGTTTAGAACTCCATATCTCTCTCTCTCTCTCTCTCTCTCTCTAAACGCTTTAGATTGATCCTATATTAATTGTTCAAGTACGCGCGCACAAAAATTTATGGTATAATTGTTTTTAGCATTTAAAAGTGAGACAGGAACAGCAACAGGGTATATTTGCAATTGTCATTGTAATGGAAGTACTCCTAAGATTTCGCAGTCCGAATTTAGGTAATGAACTCCCTTTTTTGGTCAATTTGCGTAAAGATCTAATGTTCATTAAAATCATCTAAGAAATGTTTCAATTAATTTAAGTGCAGTACTTATCCAAATGAGTAGCGCTAGCTAAAGACATCAACTTATAAGCAATATCTTATTATTATTATTAATGAACATGGTGTTAATCTTAAGTACGTACAAATAAAATAATAACATCCTATCACATACTGTGTCAATTAATATTAGAAAGTTAAAATTAAGTACGTGTCCTTAGCACTACAAAAGGGTCTTTAATTTTTTTTCTGATAAAAGATGGTGTCCTCCTCAACGCCTATAAAAAAAAAATCAATTAGTCCCATCAGTGCAATAGTTAAGAGCTTGGTTAGGGTGATCCCTAATTATCTTAATTAAACTTTATTGTGTCTTCGCGTGGGAGGTATATTGTACCTAAAACATGGGTGGACTAATTTGCAGGTAATGTATTATTTATGTATAATAATTGCCAACGTCCTTTTCAAATTTGGACTAGTATTTCAAATTATTAAGCTTGATATATAGTTAATCAATTATAAGGTTTATGGGCAAGTGGGCTATTGCCATGCTCATGATGTGAAATCTCAGAGCTAGCTGGTGATAATATGGGTCTCCTACGAAAATTAAGTATGGGTTTACATACCCCCGCCAGATCATAGTGCATATTTACTCAAACTCTTGAAGCGCTTTAATTATGAGATTTTAATGTTTTATATGATTGCCTTTTCTTGAGGCAAGAAACCGTATGGTTTAATTGGCGGGCTTTGCATAACTTCTTTTGAAGAATTTACTAATGAATAAAAATTAACAATCTTCGACCGTGGAAGAAATCAAAACTAGATAATCTTATTAAAAAAAACTTGTTCGTGCATATGAGCATGACCTTTTGTCTTTTTTTTTCCTCCTCCATGATGATCTCTCTCCATGGTTGTCAACGATGACGAGACTCGAATCCAAAACAGGAAAATAAGGAAAGATTTTCCGGGTAGCTTGCAGTTCACTTTATGGCCCTAAATTAATTTGTTTATGTTTCTTATCAAAGAAAATTATTTTGTTGTTTATACATAATCTAGGTAGCTAATTATTAATTTCCTGAGGAGAAACAATCACAATTAGGCTACAAATTTCTTGTAATTTAGGGTTAGACTCGTTGGCCTTGCATGGGCTGGTCAAACAAGTACGCTTGAATTGAACAGAAAGGTGGCTTTAGGCTGGCAGGGAAAACTTGTAAGAGAACATGAATCCAAAGTAGGTTAGAAATTAACGATACTTATATATAAACAATATCACAAGCTTTGTTTGACGAGATAGTTGCTCAACTTATTTGGCAAATATTGCTCAACTTATTTGGCAAATAGATTATGATCCGTTTAGTTCGCTGATTCGAGTTTTTAATTCGAGTTGAAATGTGACTTTATGTGAGAGCTTTTTACTATAGCAAAAAAATTAGATGTAACTATTTCTTATGGCTTTTTACTGTAATAAAACTCGAATTTTAAACTCGAATCGGTGAAATAAATGGGGCCTACAATTTCCTTTCCTACCTAGCAAGTTCCACAAGGGAGGCGGGTAAAAGCTTAATAATAATAACTAAGGAAAGAATAACGTTTAGAACACCAACTTTAATCTCAATTTTTTATATTAATTTTGGGTTATTATTTATTTATTGGTGGCGGTTGGTTTAAGGACTGGCACATTTTAATAATAAAATATTACATTTTTCAATAAAAAAATCACAACTTAAAATTAATGCAATAGTTGAGATTAGTGTTAGTGTCCAGAACTATTTTAAAAGAAATATAACCTCATATATCTTCTCCTGATTGACATGCAAGTTTTTTAGTCTTTAGGTTAGGTAAGGTTGGTTTGAGCCTTAAGAGATTGGAATTGAAGCTTAAATATTCTTAGAAGAAAAAACCACTTAAAGCATAAACCTTGGTGAAATAATCAGTAACGTACGATTTTCCCAAAAAATTGGACAAGTATATATATAAATAAGCCTAATTCACAGTAAATATATGGCTACCTATAAGATAGAAGCCCTGCACAAATAACATTTGGCATATAAAGCATTGATTTTTAGTTTACCCAATTACAAATAATTAGAGCTAATTAATTATGATGGGAAATAATGCTCTAAGCAATATTAATGCTTAGCTTGAGAATTCCAATCAGCTTAGCCCGACCCGCCGCCCATCCAAGTTTGATTTTTGGGCTCGGGCTCGGGTTACCTGAAAATGGACGAATCGCCGGAGCCCGCCGCCGAGAGAGGGCCGTCAACCGTCGACTGCCGGAATTTTTTCACTCCGGCCTCACTTGCCCAAATTGCCCGAAGCCTGACCAACGGCTATATTTTTAACCGGTGGCGCCCAACCCGACCCGCCGCCTGAGTTGCCAGACTCCAAACGCTTTTTTTTTTTTACCATTGCCCGATGTTCGGCCCGAACCCGACCTGCCGAGACAAAAAAAATGGCCGTTGGATTTGAATTTGGGGGGAAAATTTAATTTTTTAACCCAAAAATTTCCCTATAAATACCCCCTATTCCCCACACATTTTTCTCACCCAAACTCTTTCAATCCCTCTCAATTTCTCTCAATCTCTCTCACAATTTTTTTAAAAACTATCACAATATCCTAAAGCTCTCTCTCTCAAATCGCTCTTATTTTTTATAATAGATTCTTTTGGTTATAGTGGTATTCCTGTTGATGCCCAACATAACGTGGAAGAAAGGCAATTTCCTACTAATGAATTTATTACGCAGGAATAAAAACACAACCAAATGAGGAACCTGTTAACACAACCAACTGAGGAACCTGTTAATCCGAGCCGTGGTGGACGTACTGGAGGTCGTGGTCATAATGGTGGTGGACGTGGAGAAGCGGCAAGTGCAAATGCTACTGCGCCTGCAAGTGTTGTAACCTCCAAGAGGAAATGCAAGCGCACATTGACAGTTTGGGATCACTTCGACACAATTGAGGAGATTGACAATGACGGTAACACTAAACATATAGCTCAGTGTAAATATTATTTTTCTAAATTACAAGGTGACACTATTCATGACACAACATTCTTGAGAAGACACTCTGAAAAGTGTCTTTAAAAGCTTAGCCAGTCCGACGGGAGGCGAACTCCACCAAACACAATTATCTTTTGATCGCGGAACCGGTGGTCTAACCACTTAGAAATACAATCCACAAGTAGATTGTATGAAAGTTGCGCGAATGATAGCTGCATTAGATCAACCACTTAGGGCGCGTTTGGAACTCATTCCAAAATGATTTTATTTTTTGTATGAAAATGAAAATGTTTTCAATCTCAGACATAAATCATTTTTGAAAATGCGTTTGGCAGTTTTATCAAGAGATTATTTTCAGTGTAAAAACAACCTATTAATGTCTCTCTTTCTCTCTCTGCTCGAGAGAGGAGAAAACGAAAACAAAAAATGAAAAACAACTAAAAGTCAATTTTCATTTCTCTCTCATTTTACACTAAACTAAAAATCATTTTCATTTTCGTTTTTTATCTCTATTGCATCAAACGCTGTTTTGAAAACGTTTTCATTTTTTTCTCAAAAAACGTGAAAAACAAAAACGGGATCAATTTCCACTCGGCCTTAGTTTTCTAGAGCATCCTAATTGGCAACGATATATTAAAGTTGTACAGAATCCTAATGCACAGTTCACTTCAAAAGTACTTTTAGAAAAAAATTGTTAAAATTATTTAAAAAAGAAAAATAAGCATTAATAAATCTTTTACACTCGACTAGTGGTTACGTTGCGTTAACGGCAGATATTTGGTCTGTTGTTGCCAATAAAGATTATTTAGCTGTAACCAGACATTACTTTAAACGATTTGATTTAGATAAGAGAATATTATGTTTTAAATGTGTTTTAAGATCACATAGCACCGATTTAATATATAATACAATTTTAAATGTAATTGATGAATTTAGATTAAGAGATAAAGTAATGGCTATAACATTAGATAATACTAGGGCAAATACTAAAGCAATTGTGTGCTTCAAAAATGATTTAAGTTTATTCGATAATGGTATTATTTTTCACTAACATTGTGCATGTCACATAATTAATTTAATAGTTAAATCTGATTTAAAAGAAATGGCTACTCACATTAAAAGAATTAGATATACTATTGCATGGATTTAAGGTAGTAACCAAAGAGAA